CACTGCGGAGAAAAGAAATGATGGAGAAATACAATCAGTTTGACTTTGTGATGCATCAGTTTTTAGAGAAGGTCAAAGAGGGGCCAGATTTTGTGTGCTGTGTTTGTTGTAGATTGTTGTTCAGACACCAAGTGTTACCGTGCAGAAGGGAATGTTACAGGAATCGGAAAAACATAGCTGCAGTTGCAGATGTGTGTATTAGTGAAGAGTACCTTCACCAATGTAATGAGGATTGCCTAGTGCCTTGTCAATTGCTGGATAGTGCTAGAGGTCAGCTTTGGATCTGTTTTTGTTGCAATGACAAGGTCAATAGAGGTGAAATGCCAGCTGAGTGTGCAGTCAATAAATTGGTACTTGATCCTGTTCCAGCAGAATTGGCTAGTTTAAATAGCTTGGAACAGCATTTGATAGCCTTAAACATTCCATTTTTGAAAATATTGGCATTGCCTAAAGGTGGCCAAAACGGAGTGCATGGACCCGTGACATGTGTTCCAGCAAATATTGTGCAGACAAATAATTTGTTGCCACGGTCAAACATGGAAGGCTCTTTAGTGCCTGTCAAATTGAAACGTAAATTGACATATAAAGGTCATTATGAATACCAATTTGTTGACACCATGCACATAAGGCAAGCGTTGCAGTATTTAAAGGTTGTAAATAGACATTATCAAGATGTAGAGTTCAATGAGGACTGGGTGAATGCGTTTTGTGTTGAAGAGGATGAAGTGGTTGAAAAAGATAGTGATTGTGTAGAAGGTGGTGAACTGGTTAAAAAAGATAACAATGAGGTAGAAGGTGTTGAAGCCACAGATGTTGATGATGAGCTGTTGCATGATAGACAGCAGCATTGTATGTTTCAGGATACGTGTCTCATGCCTGTTGACATTGGTCAGGAAGCACTGGATCAATATTTTGATGATATATTGAATCTGGCCCCAGCAGAAGGGAATAATCCTGTCAAAATACTCTCTGATCAAGACAATGAAGCAAAATGCTTCCCAGTGTTGTTTCCAAAAGGCTGCAATACGTATCATGAAAGTAGGCAGCATCGTTTGACACTGTCGCGGTATTTTAATAATAGGATTCTACATGCTGATGGCAGGTTCGCTCAGAATGTTGAGTATATTTTTTATGCTCAGTACATGTCTGAGGTGGAAAAAGTACTTTCCAATGTGTCTATAGCGTTACGGAAAGGCAAAGCCAGTGGTAGCAAATCCCATCAAGTTTCCAAGGAGCAGGTCAGCAACGAAGACTCGTTGAAGAAGCTGCTTGAGTTTGATGATGGGTATAGGTTTTTAAAACCTATTAGAGGTACCCCTGCATTTTGGCAATCAGCACAGCGGGACCTGTTGGCATGTGTGCGTCAACTTGGTATCCCAACATGGTTTTGTTCTTTNCTGCACATTGCGGCTGAGAAATTCTACCTTGAAACTCATAAAACCTCAGATTCAGACATCCAGGGTTGAATACGTAACAAACCGATCCTGTCAGCTCGCAGGATGGGGCTTTTAGTATCACACTTCTTCTTCAGATTCAGCTTCCTGTTTGAGTATTTCTATCTGAATTACTCCATGATTACAATTTTCAGTTGTGTGACGCGCAGTAGTTTGACAGTGTTTGAGCAGAGTTGCAGGTGAGCTGGTGTGCTCGAACTGCAGCGAGTGATGGAGGTTGCTTTGAAATCTATCATTTTGATACACAGAGATGAGTTTTTATGGGTTTAATCAATGACCGGAGAAGGACTTTTATTGTATTTACTGTAGATTTGCAACAAAAGGCTGCGACTAACAATTATCTTCACTGTCGATGAGTCTGTTTCTAGATCAATTGATTGGTTATTTGTTCTATATATTGTCATTAAGTGGTGAAAAATTATGATTAGTGTTTTTTCAAAGCCTGAGATGACATTCAGTTTACTGTCATGTAAAAGAGAAAATAAAATATTCACATTTAAGAAGCTGGAATCAACAATGTTTTGCTTTTTTTGTTAAAAAGAAAACAAACAACTTATAGACTAATTATTGCATTAGTAAACAATTGTTGTGGTTATTTTTAAAGTGAAACTGAAAACATTTGCTGATTCTTAAATCAGATTGTTTTTTGCAGTTTACTGTGTCAATGAGAACTGACCTAAATTTCTTTAGGTGTTGACTGCTGGTTGTACAAAACAGGTCATCTGAACACAGTGACAGATTAATAAATAATGAAAATAATCTGATTACATGACAAAATAAGCCTAATTTATTGCTCTCATGCGTTGTTAATCACTCTTATCACCTAATTTGCTTGTATGTTGAATATGACCTGATGAACACGTTCAGGGAAACTGCTTCTTCCCGGATGGCAGCGTTATCTTACTGGTGACCTGTTAACAGCTAACGTGACTAAAATGAGACACTGTTTTATATTAAATGCTACCTTCATGGCTGTTTTGTGAAATCAAATAGACTTTCTCACCAGAACTGAGCTGTGCGCATTCACATAAAAAGGGGCGTTGAACGATCGTGTGCAGCTGCTTCAGTCAGCAGGTTGTTTTAATGGAGAATAATGAGGAATATAAACAAAATGTGACAATAAAAAGCGCCGATGCTGCAAATGGTGCAAGACAGGAATGCTTTTAGAAAACTGTTAAATGTGTTAATATTTAATATTTTACTGATGCAGCCGCTTATTTCCGGCTGACAGCTGCACGTTAAAGTTAAACTTTAAACTTCATGATCTTGTGTTGAAGTTCATTTAGGTCTGACACTGTCCCATAATGCAGGAAATCACTTTAATTTTTGGCCAAATCAGAGCAAAATGAATGGTATTGAATATTCTCTGTAGAATAATCCATTTTCTGTGTTCTATCAGCTGCAGTACCAGCAGAGTAAACAGACTTGACAAAAAATCAGAACAAAACATATTTATGTGATTTCTGCATTGCCAACTAAATACACGTCTGGTTCCCATGGCAACACAATACATACAGTGTGCGATATTGTAATTACACGGCTTCATTCAGTGATATTAGTTATGTACAATCAGCATGTTTGCAGATAAAACACATTCCCTCAGCTGAGAATCTGTATCGCTCATAAATAATAGTAAACGATCTGGTGAAAGGGATTTAAATCTGAAACTCTGAACATAACCTGCTCTTGACCAGGTTAGCTCCACAGCATCAGTTACCATGGCGATCTAGCAGGTAAAAAGAAAACCACGTCCATGACACTACAAAGTCTGACTTTAAGCTCACCATACCTCGATAACTCACTGATCTCAGGTTCAGATCCAGGTATACTGAAGCAACATAACACTTAGATCCCTTGGCACTGGTGAGGTGATAAGCGTTTATAATTAACAAACGAGTTATCCTGCCAACTCCTGCATGTGCAATTCTTTTTTTTTTTTTTTTTTATGCCAGGTAACAATGAACTGTAGCTTTTCTTGAACAGTGGCTGGATACTTAAACACGTGTTTTGAGCTGTAAACGATTTGATGCAACTACATTTTGATGCAACACAAAAATGCTGGTGCCAATGTTGGCATTGACCCTTGAAAATGGCTCAACACACTATCTACTGTTTTATATTGTCGCAAGGCCAAGGGGCGATATAAAGTCAACAGTTTGGGACTTCTCTAAGTCATGAAATTGACATAAAAAAAAATATGAACATCCAGTTCAGGGGAGTCAGCCCACCTCCACCAGCCGCCATCTTTGAGTGGAAGTCTGTCAAACAGGCATCATTGCCAAAGTAGCAACATTTGACTTCACACTTGTTTTATCTTTTCAACCAGCAAAAAACATCTGATAACTTTTTGGACAAACCTGAGCTACGTTCTGAGGCGTCACTTTCCTACTGCAGCTACACCTCCGTCTGAGTCAGTGATTGACAGCACAGTTGACCACACAGCAGCTGACACATCCATCCATCCATTATCTATACACCGCTTAATCCTCACTACGGTCGCGGGGGGGCTGGACCCTATCCCAGCCCCCTTAGGGTGAAGGCAGGGGACACCCTGGACAGGTCACCAGTCTATCCAGCAGCTGACACGGATGTGAATAAATGGGAGTAAATTTTTTTGTCTGAGCGATCATTTTACATGTAAATATATAGAAATTCTCAACACACAGCTGTTGTCTTTAACTTGTACATACAGTCATCCTTATGTTTATTCTTCCCCTACCATTAAAGAAAAGGCAAAATTCACAATAGTCACTCAAATAACTAGAAACTGAAAAAAGTAATAATAAATAAAAAATTGCTAAATTATAATTTAGTGAAATAAGACATTGCTTTTGAATTATGGTTGAAAAGAATAACAATAATTTAAAAAAACACACAACTGTCCTGGACAAATGAGAGCACTTTGCTGATGTGCAGTGGGTCAAAATCCAAATAGCTGTCAACAGGTGCAGAAGTCTGATGGAGAGATACAGAGAACACTTGATTGCAGTGATTGGCTCAAAGGGTTGTTCAATAAAATATTAGTTTACGGGTCCCATCATGCTTGTTTGCTTGTTTTTTTGTTTTTGTTTTGTTTTTTAATATTTCTGTTGAACCACAATTCAAAAGCAATGTCATGATTTTCATAAAATTTTTGTTTATTATTACTTTTGTCAATTTCATCTTACTTCAGTGACAGCTGTTTTTTTTTCCTTCTTTAATGGGAGGGTATGAATACATGTGAGGACGACTGTATGGTGATTTTATCAAATGACATGGGGGTTATAGAATCGGTAATTCAGCAGCAGAGCCACTTAGAAATGGCTCTGAAGTGTCTTCTGGCTAACATGTAGTCTTAATGGGCTGCATTTTATTCACTATTTCATACTGTTCCTATTATCTGAAAACAGAAAAATGAATGAGAATATCTTTTTTGGGAAGCCAGCTGTAATAAAACGCAGTCCATCGGAGCACAGAGAGCAGGAGAGAAGTAAACAGGTGTAAACATCAGCTGAGTTCAGATTGCAATGAAGCACAGTAACGCAAACCATCTTCAAGTGTTGGTGGAGATATCATTCACAAGAGCTGATGCTTTCAGAGTTACTGCAGTGAACGGCTCAGATTGATACGTCTCTGGACCCCCCTTTTACCCTCCACCAACCTAATGTCTGATTCTGTGTTATCAAGATGGCTGCTCTGTGGTGAGACTTACTTTTAAGAACTTTGTAAAAAAAGCCGACCAGTGATCCCCCAGAATCACATACAGCAGACTCTCAGACACGTGTGGCCTTTGAGAGCACTTTATAGACGTATATATCTTCTGGATGACAAAGAGTGACGAGGTCCATGTGTCACGCTGTCTTTGTGGAATTTGTTTATGATGCGCGTTGATTATTTGTTTTTTTCTGCTGCTTTGTTCTGATATCTGGACTCAGTCAGTTTTTATCGTCCGTCATATACTTAGTTGACAGCACCACAGAAATTAATCGTTGAGCAAGGTCGAAGTGCACGCACACTTCCAGCCATTTTATGGGTTCAGCTGAGGGAGAATAAGTTGGGCGTGTGCTCAGAGTGGGAAGATGCTGCTGCCAAGTATGCAGTAAAAATGTTTTCGCGATAATGCTCCGGCTTATCAGTTTTTATAATGATGGGCACTCATTTCTTGTCACAGCTATACAGTCCAGTTTTACTTCCGCCATAGTTAAGGAGACACCGTTTCAACTTGAAATAGACTCTTTCAAAATTAAAGTATGAGCAACAAATAATAACAATAAAAAAGTTAACTGTTGTTTTGATTTAAATATCTTGAACAGTAGAAGTAATTTGAACTCGGAAACATTAAAAACAAGCCTTTGATTTCACTTTGATTGTCATTAATATTATTTTCTTTTTGAAAATCGCCTTTCATTTTTTAAAAAGAATAAAATACACAGTAAAAACCCTGTTGTACATGGCATTTTGTTTGGTAACTACCGATTACTGCTGATTTTCAATATAATTTGTTACAAGAATTTTGTTCTAGACTTTGTTTTTTCCACTTTCAAAGAGTAGTTTGCATTTATAACTAAAATTAATAAGCAAAGTTTCCCCAGAGGCCATGTACGAACAAAACACAAACATTCAGCTGCAGTATGTCTTGTTCCTATTTTCTTGATGAGATGCATTTTTCTAATAAATTGCTCTTTATTTTTCCCCCTCCTTCTTTATTTCTGACAGCTAACATCCCACCTGAGCAGCTGATGACCTGTGGAGCAGCTGACTGTGGCCTTAATATCTCATCCAACAGCACCACCACCAGGCCTGCCCAGAAACTCGTGTGGACGCTCGTCGGATGCTACATCGGTAGAGTTTCCTGTGCCTTAACAGTCCACCACGCAAGCTTAGCAAAAAAGACAAGAAGCCAGGAAATGATCTGTATGCTGAAGTGATCAAATTCTCATAAACACTACACACTATGCCCTCATATTGGTGCTTCACAAAGTGACAGCATTCTGTTATTCAGACACAGATCACTATTAATGTTCCACATGAGTCCAGTCAGACAAACCCACTACTGAGAAGGAGAGAGACAGAACAGCATTTGTTATAAAGCTGAGATTGGACAGAACATCAAGGGATGTATCATAAATAGGGATTTACTAATAAACAAAATATTAAACTAAACTAATGACAATTTATCAAGCTGCTCCAATCCCTTATCCAGTTTATTTGTTCCCCAAACACTGTACATTCTGTCCATGTGTGATGATAATTGAACTGCTACTGTACGAGCAGTAAAATAAAAATATCCCGACAGCTGTACTGGAGCTCAGGACTTAAAATGAAGATGACTGCTGTGCAATGCATGATTTGAATTTTTTTAATTGAATGAATTGAATTTCCCTTCTGGGATAAATAAAGTATTTTCATTTCATTTAAAAAAAGTTTTAAAAAAAGTTAAAATTCTCTGATTCCAGCTTCTTATATTTAAATATATTGTGGTATCTTTTCTCCTCTGTGACAGGAACCTGAATATAACTGGGTTGCAAATATAACTATACATTTAAAGAATGTCGTCTTGGGCTTTGGGAAACACTGTTGTGTGACATTTCATAGACCAAACAACAATTAATTAACTGGGAATACAATCTACAGATTAATCCACAATGAAAGTAATCGTCAGGTGTAACTATAAGTAATCAGTGAAGTTACTGCTGTTGTGCCATGCAGAAACGCAGCTCGTCCTCTGTGGAGACGCTCATATGGATCCTGTTTGATGCTGCAGGTGTTGAATAAACTCAGAGGAAAGATAAAGATGAACTTTATTGATCCCACAGTGGGTAAAGTTCATCGTTACAACAGCTCCAAAAAGAAAAAGTGTAAAGTCAGTGCAAGAATAATTTAGAATAATCATTTAGAAAAAGACTGGAGGCAACAAACTAAACTTCAGTCCTTGTTAATGTACTGGTAAAAGCTGGATTACATTTATTATCTGTAAATCTCATTCATCTGACCTGTTCTGTCCTCATCACAGTTGTATTATTTACGGACGATCAGTTTTAGTATCTCGATCTGAAATTAACGGGCAAAGTGAACCAACAGGTACTAAAATATGGAAAAAGCCTCCCTCACCTTATACAACACAAACTATGTTGCTTGCACATCCCTATCTTCGAATGCGACGCCATGCAGGTTAGACTTGAGTTGTGTTGAAAGTGATACAGAAATGTTCACAGTCACAACTTTGACACTAAAGTGAGCGATGTGCTCATTCAGACATGAAGCTGATACAGTCACATGCTGTCAGACTAACAGAAGGAGTGCATGTCTGAAAAGAAGCTTCTGTCTGTCACGTTGCAGGTGTGGGTGTGCTGGCCATGCTCATCGTGGCAGTGTTTCTGGACAACGTCGACCGGGATCAGGCGAGCCAGTTTCGTGAGAACAGAGAGCCGTTCTGTCATACGTTCCTGGCCACATTCAGGCTCCTGAAGGACTGGAGGCTGCTGACGCTCATCCCGCTCACCATGTACAGCGGCTTCGAGCAGAGCTTCCTGTCTGGGGAGTACACTAAGGTGAGGAGATCTCCAAAAAAATGACTCAGTGACCATGTTTTCCCTGTTTAAATGAAAGTAAAATGGGTATATACAGTCATCCTCACATGTATTCATACCCTCCCATTAAAGAAGGAAAAAAAAACAGCTGTTACTGAATCAAGTTGAAATTGACAAAAGTAATAATAAATAAAAAAATGTAATGAAAATCATGACATTGCTTTTGAATTGTGGTTCAACGGAAATATTAAAAAACAAAACAAAAAAACAAGCAAACATGCATGATGTGACCAATAAACTAATATTTTGTTGAACAACCCTTTGAGCCAATCACTGCTATCAAGTGTTTTCTGTAACTCTCCATCAGACTTCTACACCTGTTGACAGATATTTTGATTTTGTCCCACTGCTCATCAGCAAAGTGCTCTAATTTGTCCAGGACACTTTAAAAAAAAAAATATATATATATTTTCAACCACAATTCAAATTCAACATCTTTGGTCACTAAATTATAATTTAGCAAATTTTTATTTATTATTACTTCTTTCAGTTTCTAGTTATTTCAGTGGCTGTTGTGAATTTTGCCTTTTCTTTAATGGAAGGGGATGAATACATTTGAGGATGACTGTACTGCATTTTCCACACATTTACTGACCACTAGAGAGCAGAGCAAGTCCTCAGCAAAGTGACGCAGCCCTGACATGCTGTCGAGCTGTCCTGGCTTTGATTAGCAAACATTTTCACATCGAGCAGACACGAAGCAAAAATAAGCATTTATTTTAGCCGTGTTGGCCAAAACCTGAGAAAAATACTTCAGCATTACACGATCCTCCTTTAATCTAAGTTTCACTAATTGTTTAACATGTTAAGTTGTTGTGTTTCTTTGCAGAACTATGTGACTTGTGCTTTGGGGATCCATTACGTTGGCTTTGTGATGATGTGTTTCGGAGCTTCCAACTCCCTTTTTTCTTTTCTCTTTGGGAGACTCGCTCGGTACACTGGGAGAGCTACACTCTTCGGCCTCGGTAAAATCTCATTTTAGACTTATAAAAATGTTGTGTGTGGGATTGTCTTTAAAGAAGACGCAGTATGATGATTATTTTACTTCTTATTTTTTGTTTTTTTCAGCTGCAATCGCCAACTTTTCCTGTATAATCGCTCTCTTGTATTGGAGACCTCATCCTGACGAGCTGCCAGTCTTCTTTGTGTTTCCCGCTCTGTGGGGTATGGCAGATGCCATCTGGCAAACTCAGACCAATGGTAAGAAAATTCCATCCCATTAGATGGAGCAGGTACATGAAAAAATGTGGTTTCTATGATGTTCTCCGTTCTAATAGTGATGATGTAATGTATCCTGACAATATCACTGCATGAGCGATTAACCAACTTTAATTCAAAATCACTATCTGAAAGTATTCAATTAGCAAGTTGTGAATTCAATTTAATTTAAGACAAAGACTTTCAGTGGCTGTTTATACTTTCCTATTGATCAGTGTATACCACATCCTGCATGCTGTGACCTCATACATCTCGCAGCACACGGTTTAAACAGCCATGTCACACAAGAAGGTTGAAAAAAAATTATATCGCCTTCCAACCATGTTGGCACTTGATGGAAA